GAACAGAATTTATTGTTCCAGAACGTTCAACCCCTCATTTCACACCCTTAGAGGGCAAATTTCCAAAAATTGCTTCTTAGTGCTAAATTACGTTACATAAGGAACGCCTGCAAAATTCATACTTCTAAAACCGATTTTAACAAATTTTTGTACAAATTTTCATCCCTTATTTTTAGGGGATGCATGCCTAAAATTCTCGTCTAGGTACTCACTTTCATCATTTAAGGGACCTCTGAACAGAATTTCATACTCCTAGTCCTAGAACGGATTTTACATAAAAAGTTATACAAATTTTCACCCCTAGTTTTACCCCCTTAAGGAATGAATTCCAAAAATCACTCTATTATTCAAATACGCTACATAAGGAACCTCTGTGCAAATTTTCATATTCTTCAACAGAATTGTTTCAGAACGTTCACCCCTCATTTCACACCCTTTAGAGGGCGAATTTCCAAAAAATTGCTTTTAGTGCTAAATTACGTTACATAAGGAACGTCTGCAAAATTCATACTTCTAAACCGATTTTAACAAAATTTTTGTACAAATTTTCATCCTTTATTTTTTAGGGGATGCATGCCTAAAATTTGCTTCTAGGTACTCATTTTCATCATTTGGGGACCTCTGAACAGAATTTCATACTCCTAGTTCTAGAACGGATTTTACATAAAAAAATTATACAAATTTTCACCCCCTAGTTTTACCCCTTTTGTTGAATGAATTCCAAAAGTCACTGTAATTATTCAATTACGCTACATAAGGAACCTCTGTGCATATTCCTTCAACAGAATTGTTTCAGAACGTTCACCCCTCATTTCACACCCTGAGAGGGCGAATTTCCAAAAAAGTGCTACTTAGTGCTAAATTACGTTACATAAGGAACGTCTGTGCAACTTCATACTTCTAAAACCGATTGTAACAAACTTTTGTACAAATTTTCATCCCTTATTTCTAGGGGATGAATGTCAAAAAATTAGCTTCTGGATACTCACTTTCGTCACTTAAGGAAACTCTGTACAAAATTTCATACTCCTAGAACTAACATTTTTTGTACAAAATTTCACCCCCCAGTTTCACTACCACTACCCTTAGGCTATACATTTCCAAAAATCGCTTATCAATGTTCAAATGCGCCACATCTGTGCAAAGTTCATACTCCTAGTAGGTACAGATTTTTTTTGTATAATTACACCCCTTTATCTAATTACACCCCCTTATGGGTCGAATTTTAAAAAATTACTTAGTAGCACTCATCTTAGAGAACGAATTAATATTCTCCGTATTTACTCCAGTTTCCTAATACTAGCACAGATAACACATAATCATACTACTTAATTTTTTATTGGAATAGAAGTATTTTTTATTAGAAGGTACAAAAAAATTAAAAATCTAGGCCTTAGGATGCCTCATGTACTAACGAATACGAAATATATAATCAATACATATTTCTTTAAATATCGAGAAATAAAATATGTTTTGGCAACACCGTACGAAATATCGCCGCGCGTAGTCCTCAAAATTTAAAATATTAGCATTTTCAGGCTTCGATTATGTTCAAAAGCGCCACCGTGTGACAAATCACTAAAGCTTCCACACGAGATTTCTTAAAACTATAATATTCTTTGGTACTTCACTTTTTTTCTGATGCGGACAAATGGTCAGTTTTCTTATTTTCGTAATATATCCTTATATCTGTCACATATATTTGCAATTGGAGTTTTTTCCTCTGGGCTAAAACTAACACAACGGTCTCTTTTCTGTTTAATTTCATCGCAATCCATGTTCCGAACTTATTGTAAATTTAAAAGCATACAAAGACTGTTACAAAATCATTTCCCTTTTAAAACAGAATTTATAATTTGAAAACTAGGAAAAAACTACCCATAGGTAAATGAAACAAGTTTAGATTGGAAAGTGCCCATAAGGACAATGTAAACACTATTTGGCGCTATTTTTGCAACGGTCGCGACCCAAAACTTTTGAAAATTTCGGAGCGGTTCGGATTTTTCCGGAATTATATCGCCAAATATTGTTTATTCAAATTTATTATTATTTTCGTTTAATTTTATAAATAAAAGACAGTGTGTTGCATACAAGAAACTTTATTTTATATAAGGACGCATGTATGAAATACCTATGAAACATTGGAAACCGACGTTATGCCACGATCCACGATGGTTTTTGCAGTTCACAGTTCACAGCACAGATTTTTAAGTTTTTAATGCCACTTTTCCACAATTATCACCGGTTGGAGTAAATAAAACTTGAATTAAACTCACAAGATAGCAATTATTACTTTGAAAATGGACGCTATAAACACTTTTCGGAGTTTCTTTAATGAGAGCGGTTTAGATTTTGAAAGATTATTATGATTTTTGAAGATTCTGACATTGACAAGAGAAAATTATTTCTGTTTTTGTTTGCCGTTGTTCTTAGCGACCGCTATAGCAGCGCCAGATCGCGTATAACGGTCGCGACCCAAAATAATTTCGCGACCTAAAATTTTTACGGGCTTTCCAATCTAAACTTGTTGCATTTATCTATGAAACTACCTGACATTTAACATAAAAACGGATAAACAATGTTTGAAACCATGGAAAAGGTACAAATACGAATATGAAGTTCGCTACCTATCAAAGATTGACGTTGTTGCCAAGAATATTCGCTGATTAACTAAACAAGCTTTCATTGTGCTTGGTGCAAATGTAACAAAAATAATCATCGATTAAAATATAATCAGTGATTACTTAAACGCTGTTTAAATGCAAATTGGTGCAAACGGCCATAAAAGCGCTTAGCGTTTTCTAAGTTACAGAATTCGGGCCCTGAAAATTAATGTACAGGGTGTTAATAATCTATTCTATTGTAGCATGCAAATTTAAATATCTTTAAATATCTCAAAAACAATAGATTTTAAACATATTTAACCCTTATAATAAATGCCTTTTTTTGGGCCCAAGAATCCAAAAATGAAATAAAATACCGTGTGTTTCATAAGAAAAAATATAAGTTTGGTATGTATCTTAGTTCTGAAACACCCTGTATATTTCAAAATAATTTTAAATTGTGCACATTGTCTCCCAGCATATACTCATAAAATATTTTATTTCTACATCTTTCCATTTTCGTATAATCAACCGAGGCGAATGAGGTGCGCCACCCTGTATATTTTTAATGTATTGAAAAGAACTTAAAATTATCTTTCCAAAAATATTGCACACTTGATATTTTGGTCGATTCCTTTTCGAAATATAGAGCTTTCGAAAATTCGCCCACTTCGAATAAGTAAGCTTTAGTTGTAAACAAATGTACAGGGTGGGTCAAATTCGACGCTTTTAAATGGAAACACCCTTTTCTATAGGAGATAGACAAAAACTAATATCGGTGTCTGGAGCTCAATTTTTGTCAAAAACATGATGGTGAAAACCGCATATCGATATCTGTTACCGTTTCGAAGTTACGGGGTGTTTTTCAAAAATATGCATTTTTAACAAATCGCTGTATCTTTTTTGCTATGGAAAATTTTGTATTTTTATGAAAACATTTCCAAAACACTTTTTACGTAGAAATTAAATGGTTTAAGTATCATTTTTTTAAAATTAATAATTTAAGAATTATCAACAGAAAATTTGATTTTTTATATGGGACACACTGTATATTTTTAGTTTATTGAAAAGAATTTAAAATTACCTTTCCAAAAATATAACACACTTGATATTTTGCTCGATTCCTCTTCGAGATATAGAGTATATAAAAATTTGCCCGCTTTAAATAAGTAGGCTTTGAACGGCACCGGCTCTAATGCAAAAAAATTCTAGCTGTGAGCATCAATTAAAACGAAAATAATATTTGCTATGAGAGATGCAGAGTTTTATAACAATTTAAAATATATTTAACCAACATCAACACATTTAAACTATATCTAATAACAAAAATAAATTAGCAAACCAAGACATGAGATTTTGCTACAGGTGTTCGGCATATCGACCGTCTTCTGTTATGGACAGACGGGGCAGTTTTTAAACATTTCTCGCGGAATTCATTAACTTAGTAGGGGTGAAAGTTGTTCTTCCGCAAATATATCCATAGGATTAGATCCATGGGCACTAAGTCAGGCGGCCTCGACGGCCAACGGCTGGATTCTTGGTTAGCTATTCAATTATTCTTGAAATCGGCTGCAAAAATTTGCTGATAACTTCAGCGTTCTTAGGCGGTGCGTCGTCTTGCTGGAAAAACATGTTTTCCAGTTCCATTAAAGGCATATCATCAATAAGGGGTTCAAAGCTTACTAGTTAAAAGTGGCAAACTTTTAAAAATTCTGTATTTCGAAGGGGATTATAACAAAATATCAAGTGTGCTATATTTTTGGAAAGGTAATTACTTTTTCTTTTCAGTTAATTAAAAATATAGAGGGTGTCCCAAATAAAAAATCAATTTTTCTGTTGATAACTCTTAAATTATTAATTTAAAAAAAATTATACTTAAACCATTAAATTCTACGTAAAAAGGTGCTTTGGAAATGTTTTCATAGAAATACAGAATTTTCCATAGCAAAAAAGTTACAGCGATTTGTTAAAAACGTACATTTATGAAAAACACTCCGTAATTCCGAAACGGTAACAGATATTGATGAGCAGTTTTCACCATAATGTTTTTGACAAAAATTGAGCTCCAGACACCGATATTAGTTTTCATCTATCTCCTATAGAAAAGGGTGTTTCCATTTAAAAGCGTCGAATTTAAAAGGGCGGGTCTTCATGAAAATACAAAATTTTCCGTAGCAAGAAAGTTAAAGCGATTTGTTAAAAATGCACAATGCACATTTTTGAAAAGCACTTGCACATTTTTTTCATTAAGTTTTTGATAAAAAGATGAGCTCCAGACGCAGATGTTAGTTTTCGTCTATCTCCTATAGAAAAGGGCGTTTCCCTTTAAAAGTGTCCAATTTGGCCCACCCTGTGCATTTTTAAACAACTAATTGATGATATCTTTTTTTTCCTTAGGAGATCCGGCTCTGCTTACAGAAGTTTTAATAGAAAAGGACGAGACATCTTTAGGAGAGAAATTTAGGACTCCCCAAATTCGAAAATTGAAAGAAGAGGATCGACTGTCTTCTTTGGTCACGATTTTAACCAACGAAGCCACCGTCATACCTCGAGGCGCATTGTTTAGGCGACCTGATGGAGTGGTAGTGGAAAATTTGTCATTCGAAGGACTCAGTATTATCGAATCTCGAGAAATAGCCTCATTTTTACATTATAGGCAACCTACACAAAAGTACAACACCAATTTACTGGCCAGAGATGATTATAACCATGCTATGGATTTTTTAGGTAAATTATTGATTAAACATGAGTATCTCTCGTTTATACAGGGTGTCCCATTTTCGTTAAAATCATACGGTATCTCCGTTATTAGTGAAGATAGAAGGGTGCAGTTTGCACAAACCTGTCCCACTTTTTTGTCAAATGGAAGATGCCGTAAACAAAATTTTCATAGCCCTCTTCGTTTCTGAGCTACAGGGTCTTTTCGAACTTTTTGCAATTTGGGACAGCCCCCGTATCTCCGTTATTATGGATAATATCGAGAAGGTAAAAACTGATTCTTGCAGAACTTTTTACGTAAAATACAGTGGCGTAGTCTGTTTTATAGTGATGAGCCAAACCGTGATTTTCTGTTCATAGGCTTACCTGTGACAGCGACTTTATATTATCTGTGACTCTTAACTGTGACTGCGACTTTATGATTATGAATCCGAAAGCACAATCACGGCTAAAATATAAGATACGATACGAATGATACGATTCTGTTGTTGTTGTTATACTAATTTTTATTTGTCCTTTATCCAAGGCCGCTGAAATAGAAAACACTAAACAGTGGGTAAAAGGTTTATTAAAAAATAAAAATAAAACAATTTTTTTATTTAAAGAAACCAACGGAAAAAGAATAAAATATGCAATATGCTCATAACCATAACGAACGAAACTTAACAACACGAGATAAGTAATACATTAAACAACAAATATTTTCCTTTGTATTAAAATAAACGAAATATATAAAAAAATGAAGTTTCTAAAAAAAATAAACAGTATAAAGGTAAAATTTTATGTTTGGCTTTAAAAAAACCTGCTAGACTAAAAAGGAACCAAACCGATTCGTAGTGATAAAAAATAGTAATAAAATATAAAATACATAAAAAATTAAATCACATCTAACAGTCACTGTCTTTAGATCACTTTGTCAGATATCTATCCTATGAGACGTACGTCGTGACTCGTGACTGAGTGGCGACCTTGTGGCAACCGGCGCCATCGGCAGCTGCGTTCGCGAAGAGCGACGTCCCGCTCTGTGAAGTATTTTCTCGTTACCAGAGAAATCACAATTAACTGTAATCGTCACGCTTTAGCAAGTCACCGTTTATTTTCAAATCAGTCACAAGCTGTGACTGTGATTATAGAATATCAGTGACAAAGTCACAGTTACCGATATTTCACTCATCACTACTGTTTTATACGAAAAAAATATTTTAGAAAATATGAACTAAAGTTGTGTTTTTTCAAATGGAACACCCTGTATATTTATAAATCATATGATCCGTATTGCTATGAACTTCTCAAAAATATATACTCTATATTTATTTTACTATTTACTCCAATATTTAAATATATCATTTTCTTCCCATACAGCACACTTCGTCCCAGGGACGTACATTTTATATCCATTTTACGTCGGTACGTCCCGGGACCAATTAGGGACGTACTATGTACGTACGTAGTACGTACCCCATGTATGTACTATTTACGTACATTGTAGGACTTCACTACGGACGTACATGCGAGTACGTACTACGTACGTATCTTGAACATTTTTGACAACGCATTACAAAATGTTATTTAATTTTAATATCATGACTGGATTATTTTGGTCAGATATACCCTGGATATACCTAATAATAATGAATGGACTGGATCAGTAGATCTTTTGTAGGCTAACGTTAATTCAAGTCACCCTAACCTACCTCTACTTCTTTTATTAATAAATCTAACCCGACCGCTATAAAAAATGATTTCCTAAATTATCCAATGACCATAATGCATGACAGCCTTTGAAGAAATCTGATGGGTTAAAAATGCAATATATTATGCAATCAAGCCTAACAGGAAAATTATGCAGTCCTATGTTTAAATTTCCCGCTAAGTTATTCGTTCACATTCGAGTCTTGTCGGAATCGGAAGTCGGGCGTTTTCTAATGGCGTTTTTGATTGGCAGAGTTAGTGCACACGTGCGCACTCAGTGTATTTCCATCTTTTATTAATCAACGTTAAAAATTAAAAACAACAATACACTGAGTGCGCACCAAAGACATTATAAAGATAGACCGAACATCTCATTCATAAATACTCGTTGGTAGTGTATCAAACATTCCAATGTGTCAAACAAGGACAGAAGAGACAGAGAAGTCTAAAATTTCCAACCCCGGCAACTAGGCGCATTTCGATTGTTCTAATGGCCAGTGGCGTATCGTTTTTTGGAACGCATTTAATTAGTAAAGTAAAAGTAAATTAATTAGTAAAATTTATACTCCATATTAATATACTACATTAACACTTTTTCGTCAGATGAGTTTTGTTATAAGGTCTAATATAATAATATAATTAATATCCCACATATACCTATGTTGAAACGTTAGTAGGTGGTTTTCGAAAATCGCTACAACGTCGATTTTCAATTTAACCTTTCAGTTACTTCTATATAAACTTTCAGTTATTTTTGAATATCTACAGGGTGACTCAGGCTTCTGAAACAGTTCTATATTAGGTTTGTGGTTGGTTACTTTTCTTTCAATTTTTTTTCAGAATACGGAGGCAATGGTAAAACACATTTTAGACATTTTTGTAAACATAGGTGGCCGGAACATATTTTCAAACTAAAGTTGTAGATTTGCCATTAAATTTCCATTCCAGAAAGACCTAGGGTTGCCACCTGTCCTTTTTTGAAAAGGACAGTCCTTTTTTGGAATAACTTGTCCTTTTGAATTTTTTTTGACTTAAAAAGTCATTTTTATTTTCGTATTTTCCCTGATAAAGTTACCTACAGCAAACAGATATATTCTTTTCGTCCAAATTTAATTAGAGATGTTATAAAACTTATAAATAATTGTTTCTTGTTTAGAATAGGCAACATTACTTAGAACTTCCCGTTTAATCTGAAATGATAGTTTAGGTTTTAGTTTTACCTTTTTTGATCTTAAAAAGAACTTCAAAATTAGTAATTAGTAACGATTTAGTTAGTTCGCAATCGATGCTTCCTGTGAAGTACTGTGTAATAGTTGTTTAATCTTGTATTATTAATAACTTCCTATACCTAAAATCAATATTTAATGAGAATTTTTTTTTTGAAAATATAAGACAAGATTTAATTTTCGGTCTTCTTCTTGTATTATGATGACTCTGATACGAGGCAATTACCTTTTAGTCTCTCAATAGAAGGCATTTATCATTAAAAGTATCAAATCTGTATGCTACAGTATGGGATTTCTGTCGCTTAATTCGCATCTACGTTACCGTAGATGGAGCTCAAGGCTTGGTAGGGTTTGTATAAATAAACAAAATACAAGAAGCAAAAAATTATTAAGGCCTAACCCCTACATATATGCTTATTCTCTGCATTAAGTTCATCAGACTGAAGGGAACAGCCATTCGACGACCGGTTTCGGAGATTTATCTCCATCGTCAGGCCGACTTTGCTGTAACCCTCAATCCGACAAACGAAAAGCAGAAAATAGCATTTGAGTACAAAACGTACTACTATGGCGAGTGCTAGATGGCGAGAGCAGCTAGTAGTAATAGGTAAAAAGCTTTTTTGGAGGCCTGAGTCATAGTATGTATAAAACTAGTAGCCTAAGAATTATTTACAGTTTGTCCCATTCTAAAAAAAAAGTAAACACACCGTACAAATAACTCTAGGAAGAGATATTTGTACAGTGGTAAAAAATTGTCTAAACAAGACCGAAGGGTCGGGTAACACCTTTGTTTATTTGTTGAGCAAAATTCCTTTAGAATATCGTATATTATAATAACCAAAAATGACGCAATTTTAAGAAAAAAATGTCACTTTCTGGTTTATAATTAAATTTCAAATGCAACGTTTATATTCAAATTTGTTATGATCTACAACAGTTAGGTAGTAATTGAGACGAATTATAATTCAATTACCGGCTACTACGTTCTTGTTTTAATAGATTAATTACAAATATAATTAGAAATTATTTTGATTGTGAGAGGCTCCCTTGTGGGACGCCTATGTACAATGACGACGGAAATATAAAATGTCAAAAGAATACCCACCTGTGAAAAGACAAATTCGGGTAATTTGAGCTTATTTTTCCACACACTTGACACTGTCGTACCATACTGAATTCGCAGATTCAAAAGTACGTTAAACGAAAACAAAAACCACCGAAAAACACTGAAAAGTTTACTTTCGTCTTGATTCCGACTTCAAACACACCGCAAGCTAAACGTAGTACGCTATAACGGACCAAGGGCCGTCGTGAGGGGTGGTGGGACGGACGGCTCATTTCATTCTGGAAGACTAGCAGCGACGTTGCCAATAGTTCTAGACGTTTCAGCACATTAAACAGTAAACATGTCCTTTAATAGTAACGGATATATCCTTTGGTTAATAACATAATTATTACGCATGCTTCTTTAAAAATAAACTATTCATTTAATTAAGAAATTGAGATTTATTGATATCCGGTAAAGGTTTTAAAGTCACCTTTTCTTCAAATCAAACTGAGTCGATAGGCGCAAATTTGAGATGTGGTAATGTCGCCTTCTATATCTCAGTTGGTTTTTACAGTACGTAGTCAAGAACAGTTAACCTAATAGGACTGCTCATTCAGCCAAAAGTGTCCGCCAGGTGCATGCGAAAACTACTCGCTTTGTGACGTCATTGTAGCCCTTGTCATGGTTATTAGTCCTTATCCGGCAACCAATAATACACACACGTGCATTATTGGTTACCGAATGCAAAACGTTCATTATTTAGTTTATTTATTTAAACACCTTATATGTATGCAGTATAGAAAATTAACTGTATAAATCGTATTAAATACTCGGATAATGCATTTTTATGAACAGCAGTTCCCAGCATCACCTTTTGCAAGCATTCTTTTTAGAGTACTTCCATATTCTGCTTTAAAATAATTAATAAACAAAGTCGTGAACACTTAGTATGCACTTTGTCACAATCCACAACACAAAATGAACGTATTTATACACTCTATAGCTCTAAAAACTTTCAAGACACCTTTTTCACATTTAAAATT